TGTAGTCTAGGCTGCTTGGAAGACTGAGGCAGGGTGATCCCTTGACCCCAGGATGTCAAGGTTACAGTGAGCTGTGATCACGCCACTGCACTCTAAGCTGTGTGACAGAGTCAGACCCTGTTTGGAAGGGGGAAAAAAGTTTGTTTATGAGTTAGGGATTAGAACAGAAGTACTTTAAAAGGTAAATTACATTGTTGAAGGAGTGGCTTGCTAGAAGAAAAAAGAATGAAAAATCATGAAAGGTAAATTAATATTGTTTTGAAAACACTTTAAATATATTTTCTAGTAACAAATTTTGCAAATTTGCTAATAAAGGCATATGGAAATTGAGACAAGCCCATTATCTGAGTATTGTCCTCAAACTTCTAACATGTTGCCCTGGGTGAATGAGAACAGTGAGATAAGAGTCAGAATATAGGTTGCCAATGTTTGCTAATTTAGAGTTTTGTTGCCTAGATTATATTGCTTATTGTTAAGTCGTATTCATCATCTGAATGAGCTTTTTCAAGAAACAGGAGTTGCAGACAGATACTGTGGTGGGTTTCAAGTGACAGGAACAAATGTAAAATTGTGTACACTCTCTTTGCCTTTCAGCCTTCCATGTTGCCAAGATAGTCATAAATTTTTTTTCAATTTAGCAATTAGGAAGGGCCTTTGCCAAAAATTATACTACTAGTAATCTGGGTGTCCTTTCTTCTCCCTCCCCATCTGCTAGTCTGGTAGATTAGCTGTGCTGAATTGGGGATAGGGAGCGCTGTTAGCATATAAGTGGTTTTATACTTTTTCAGATCCCCCTGAGTCCAGCCATGCCGGCTCCCATTTGGCTGTGACTGCCCAGCATGCCCCATGCTGAGATGATCCAGTTACTGAAGGACTGCTCATGCCGGGAGCCGGCCTATTGGGAGGGGGTTGGGTGAGTTCATTTCTTTCATTTTTAAGAAAAACAAACAAACATGGTGTGGCTTGGACAAAAACACATCTTAAGAATAAAAACGGGTTGCTAGACTCTCATGGCTAAGCCATCCCACCTCTTTCTTATGTCATTTCTTCATACTATATGCTTCTAAGTGGAAGAAGTTTAAAGACCCCTATGCAAAATGTGAGTGATTTTCTTTTAAAACAGAACTATACAGTAAATAAAGAAGTCTCCTAGTAACTGTAACTCACCCTATTAAAACATACCTATTTAAAATGCTAAAAATGAAACTTAATCTTTTATTGATAAATTTCATTTTAGGATAACTTTATATAACCTGTTGTTCTGAGCATTAGGAAAAATGTCAGTCTGTATGTCTAGACTCTGAAGATTTTCCAAGGCTGGCTGAAGAAGGTTGTTAACTTTTTGGGGCATACATTTTTTCTTATTTCCTGCCAGGGTAATAATGGGTCTTGCTCTGTAATTTGTAGGATGGCCTCTGACGTACTGTCTTTGGAGCACTGATAGTGTTAACTGTCCATGAGGAGAATGGAATCTTAATTAAGTTATCTTGGCCTATTCTTCCTAGCATTTTGAAATTGAGTTCTGGGAAACTAGAATGAGGAAATTCTGCATCTAGGGAAAGTATTCCTGGAGTCATGGATAGAGTTTATATGTTGTAAAGCTATAAAGCCTCTTTGTCAGCCCACTCTAAGGATGATTCTTGGGGATTGGGGAACAACACATTCCAGATTTAATCAGGCAACAAAAAGCCCAGCAGAGGAACAATATCTTGCAGTTGCCTGGAACTCATGAAAGGCCAATTGGCCTTTAAAGTTAGAGAGCTTAGCCAAAAGAGGGATTTGTTAAGTATATCCTACTCAGTGCAGGCCATATTTTTTTCCTCTTTGTGTTGCTATGGTTCTCTGGACTCGTTTCTAATTATATCTTTAATGTTTTAATCTTAAGTGGGACCTGGCTGGGTGGCTCATGCCTGTAATCCCAGCACTTTGGAAGGCCAAGGTGGGTGGATCACCTGAGGTCAGGAGACCAGCCTGGCCAACATGGTGAAACCCTGTCTCTACTAAAAATACAAAAGTTAGCCAGGTGTGGTGGCGCATGCCTGTAATCCCAGCTGCTCAGAAGGCTGAGGCAGAAGAATCGCTTGAGCCTGTGAAGGTGTTGCAGTGAGCCAAGATTGCAAGATTTTGCTACTGCACTCCAGACTGGGAGACAGAGCGAGACGACTCCTTAA